TACACATACACATACACATACACATACACATTCACATACACATACACATACACATACACATACACATACACATACACATACACATACACATACACATACACATACACATACACATACACATACACATACACATACACATACACATACACATACACATACACATTACACATACACATACACATACACATACACATACACATACACATACACATACACATACACATACACATACACATACACATACACATACACATACACATACACATACACATACACATACACATACACATACACATACACATACACATACACATACACATACACATACACATACACATACACATACACATACACATACACATACACATACACATGCACATACACATGCACATGCACATACACATACACATACACATACACATGCACATGCACATGCACATGCACATGCACATGCACATGCACATGCACATGCACATGCACATGCACATGCACATGCACATGCACATGCACATGCACATGCACATGCACATGCACATGCACATGCACATGCACATGCACATGCACATGCACATGCACATGCACATGCACATGCACATGCACATGCACATGCACATATACATATATAAATACATGCAGTGTACATTTACACAGACACCGACACCTCACATAGAGACACATACACAAACAGTGACAGACTTTGACAGGTAATTATTTTATTTTTTTTAAAGTAAGGAATTTATAATAGATTTACCTTAAGCTAACCAAATATAATCCTTGCATTTTATGTAGATCCAGATGCAAACTCAGTTGTTGGGTTTTCCTTTAACAGCAGTAGATTGGACCTTGTACCTTGCTATGACTTTTATATTTATCGAAAAATACCTTTTGATATTATTAGTAAGATTTGTAGTTTGTTTACATTGTGTTTGTTTTCTAGCTTGTGGTTGTGAAGCGAATCTTGGCACTTGCATTTGACTAACTTTAAATGAAACCTTTTATTTCAAAGTTTTCTACGGGGCACATTACCGTGTTTTAGACATAGACATCGCGATCTACAGAAGTAAATAATTATATCCATATGTGTTGTTTAATTCATGAGGAACGCACTAAATGCTAAAAGATTAAACAAACTTAAAGAACTTCATAGTAATGAGGTTCTTTAATGTACAAAAATTTAAAACATAAACAAAAATTGCGTTATTGATTAAAAATAGTGGTGGCTTGTGAAATTTCTCCAAACAAAATTGTTATTGTCTTTTGAAGTTTATTAAGATTTTTTACGTTGGTTTTATTTAAAATCTATATTACAGTTTCTATAGTTATTTCCAATTATTATTCAAGCATTTTTTTTTAACTTAATTAGGTTTCCTATATGTATGCATTTAAAATCAACGAATGCTAGAAATCTACACAGGTTATATGAATTACTTGCAGATCAAATATTAACATAATATTAAGCATTACTGTACAGTAAAGGCTATTAATTACAATAAAACATTTAATACTTCGTGGTATTGAAATCTTATTTTTAAAAATTTCAATATCCAGGTTTTTTTTTTTTTCTTTTATCGACAAGAACATTTTTGCAAAAAAGAATAAACGTAACAGTTTTGCTTTTTATTCCAGCTGGCCATAGATTTTGTCATTTTTTTGAAGACTGTTGGAGAAAAACTGATCCGGACTGCGAGTAAGTATTACTTCAAAACTGCATTATATTTTGTGTATTTTTTTTACCAGTGTCCTTACTAGTTCGTGTATTACCCCCTGTCGAAATCAAGTGTATTACTATCCCCGGCCCCCATTTAAAAAATATTACATTCTGTTTCCCTTAAACCTCTTCCATAGTACATTTTTTTCCTGAAAAAAACACATACTATTTTTTTTAAGTATATGTTTCGATGTATGCAATTTATATTGTCAACCATTAAATGATGTGACTGGTTGCAAACTGTCTCTCCGCCAACGCAATAAGTTTTCAAAAAGTATAAATAAAATAGAATAATCATAACTTTAATATACACATTCAGTAGCATGTATAGTACCTTAAGCATCATCAATGCTGTGATTTGAAATAGTGCTTTGTTTTTATCGGCAATGTCACTGATTTAATAAATAGCACTAGGGGCAAAGTTCACCGGCGGACACCATTTGCCGGAAGTGATGATGACAATAAGACCAAAAGTTGCAACGTATGCTGACAAAACATCATTTAAAAAAACGACTCAATTTGAGTTTAGTACACTTTAATTATGTATTTAGAACAATGTGACATACAATTGTATTTATTTTATATACAGGCGAATTTATACGCGTTTTGTTAATAAACTTTTTAAAAATGTCGATGTTAAATTCTCCATGCTGACATACACAACATGACAAACAAGAACCCCTCACACACAAGGACACACATATATACACACACATTACCCCTATAAAAGTCACAAATGGATGTCACCCAATTTACACAATGTTGTTGTTGTTTGTTTTTTTTTTAATTTATTCCAGCGATACGCATAGGCAATTGGTCTGCTGTGCCATGGTAATGGGGTCGGATAAGTGCAGAAAATATAGGGGTCGACAAAGTTTAGACATTTGGAGGAGAATCAAGGAGAAGGGTGATATTGATGGATGCGGCTCTGGTAGGTTCTACTTTATAAATACTTTACTTTTATATATTTATATAAGGACTAGGGGAGATCACTACCGGTTTATTTATTATTCTGATTATTCTAACCACGGCGTTGTGTCAAATAAACCGGAAGTGATCTCCCCTAAACTTTCTCGAATATTCTTATATGAAACAACAGGGGATGGCAACTCGGGATATAGACATGATTTTTAATCCATTTTAAATACTTAAACTTGCTTTCTCGTGATTTTGTCGTGCTTGCTTCGTCATGGGCCGAAACGCGCGAGCAAAATTTCAATCATTTTAATCGGACAGATTTCTTACAAATTTGGCAGTGGATTAAACTCTATTTCAATGCAATATGACATATAAAATTAGAGTACATTAGAGGCTTAGATCTGTTTGAAGAATTAACTTTGGAAACGGTCTATCAGCAACCATTAATTTTATAAAAACTTTTAACCCCAGATTACTTTCTCCTCTAACTTTGGTACGTTCTTTAATTCTACTTTCTAGTTTAAATTTGTTAACAGTATATTCTCAAATTACGAGTTTTGGTTTACATAATTGTAAACTGATAACATCTTGGAACCTATTAAGAATAACATACGAATATATTCATAATTAAAGCTATAGCCGAAAGAAAATTGTACAATATAACTCATAAACTATTCTTTCTTTTTAGCTATTTGTTTAATTTGTTTCTGTGTCACTAACATCTGTTATCGTATAGTAAAGCACATTGCGTTTTGATCAATAACTATTTTATAAAATATATTTCTAAATCAAGTATAACATTTTTTTAAAAATATTTAGGTCTAAAATTCACGAGTAACGGTAAGCAATGGCTGGTAAATAATGAAGGCGAAAGGATTAGCAGCTCTGGTGTCCTTTCGGTCATGTCCTGCGACACAACTGTACGGGTTACGTCCTGTCAGTGGCATAGCAAGGTCGGGTGTCACCCGGTGCGGCACTTAATGGTGTCACCCCCCAGAGGCGTAGCGACCCTTCCCGGGGACAAACTTTCGAGTTTTCAATTTGCACCCCCCCCCCCCCTCAAACTTTCGATTTGCACCCCCCCCCCTCAAGTTTTTCTCTATATATTTTGCTATTTTTTGCCTTGGTGTCACCCCCCTAAATGGTGTCACCCGGTTCGGTCCGCACCCCGCACCCCCTACGCCCCTGCGTCCTGTCCCATCAACTTTGTGGAAATGAGATGTTATATCGGCAACATTTTGTTCTTCTCAACTTAGGGTCAAGTCTTTTAGATTTCCAATGTGCAATCATTAAATGTTCTATTATAGCAATAGTATTCTATTACTAGATTAATGGCTCGTTGAGAGAGAAATACAACGGGCGTTAGGTTGAAAGTGCTGTCTTTTTCTCTAAATTGAAATTAAAACCAAAATTCCTAACTTACTTTCAATTTAACTGGAAACGAAAAGTGTCATAGAATAGGGATTTTTATCCAGAAACGGCCTTTAAACTTGATTTAACTGTGATCTACACGTATCAACTACATAATTAAATACAGTTGTAGTCATTCACCTAAACCTTGCACCAAAGCTCAAACTTGACCAAATTCGTATCTGTGTGTATGTATGTGTGTGTGTGTGTCTGTCTGTCTGTAAACACAATAACTTCAGTACCGTAACAGCTAGGTTAATGAAACGTAATATATAAGTATGATATCAAATTTGTAGATCCGTATCAACTTTTGAGCGATTTCCGATAACCGGAAACGGAACTTCTTTTACTTTTTCAAAAGCTGATGTCTTGAGTACTATTTCAGATAGATAAATGAAATTTTACATGTAAGTAAACGATCTAATTCTCTACCTTCTGTCAAATTTTTAGTATATTCGGTTGTAGTAACTACGCTATTTCGAATTTCTAAAAAACTATTTTAATTTATAAAGTACTAACAATATTCCGCACTATTATGCATAATTAGTTTGGCGTTCACTTGATGTGCAATTCTTTTTTCTACGAGATTTTATTGTATTTTACAAAGTTTAAGTAATTGAAAATCATGTCTATATCCCGAGTAGCCATCCCCTGTTGTTTTATATAAGAATATTCTAGAAAGTTTAGGGAAGGTCACTCCTGGTTTATTTGTTTTTAAAGTAAATGTCCAAATAAACAAGAACTTTTCACTTTTGTGTAACGATACAGGCTATGACCTCGAAACCAATTTTGTTTCAATCAATCTAAAGTACACAGACGACCTCAGATGCTTCGATTTAAAATCAATCAACGGCTTTGCATTTTCAACCAACACGCAGAAAGCATCAGTTATTAAAGGTAGAGTATTTTAATTAATGAAGATACACTTTAATAAATTATGCGGGTAACATTTTATTAAGCGTATTAACGGCTGGTGACAATAATTACAGATCTAAGCAGTAACATTTTTTTAAGGTTTTATTAAAGGAAAATCTAAATAGCGCGTTAACAATTTTTTTTAAAGAGTGTATATGTGTTTAAATGTTTCTGTATATATATATATATATATATATATATATATATATATATATATATATATATATATATATATATATATATATATATATATATATATATATAGTTTTAGAAAAATTATCGTCCCTTCCCATTTCCCCACATCGGCATTCCTCCCCCCCCCCCTCGACCCAGCCTCAAATCATGAATATCGGACCAAGACAATAGTGTTCATTTTGACCGCCAGAGTTCCCTTTCGGCTACCTTCGAACTATAGTACCTGGCCATTTATGTGACCCTTAGCGCCCCAGACTCTCGTATAAGCACTATTCTCGACTTTTAGAGCTAATAGGGCTGGTAAGTAGGTCACAAACTAGTTCTACGGCTCAATAAAACCTGCATGAGCCATAGAACTGATTGGTGACCTACTTTCCAGCCCTATTACGGTATACTGTTTGTCAGGTAGTGTGGATAAACTTGAGCGCCAGTAGCACCGACTTTGTTTTTATTTCATCTTTCTTATTCTGCTTTTTCAACCTGCTTTTCTTTTTTGGATTTGCTTCCGTAGCTTTTGTCCAACGAAGAACAAACTACAAGGCAGAAATTGTTCGATTTTAGAGTTGTCTCTCTTAAAAGAGTCACTGTCCCCAGCTGTAGAGACTCATCTGTTTTAAATAATTCCCAATCAAACCTATAAAAAATTATGCATTAGTTATCTAAGCATAGCTCATTGTGTTCTTTAACTGATACGATGTAGTATGCTAGAAACTCTGTCAACCATGAACTTATCAGAAGCTTTATCAGCTGCCCACTTTTATCGTACATCCTAAAGTGAGATTCTCCAGCAATGATCAGTCTATTTTGCTTTATGATATTAAAATAGAATTATAACAAATATCTATGTAGGTTTCTTTATTCTCGTTCATTTCCCTTGGCTGTTTGTTTATATACTATCACATTTTCTAAGCCTGTGTTTTAGCCTACCATGAGGATCAGAATGTCGTGTTTAGATAACTTAACAACAGATTGCAGCGCCCCGTAAAAACACGTTCTTTCTCCTTTGCATTGTTTGTCAGTGTTTAACTGCAGTGAATGAGTGTAGTGTGATGAATGGGGGGTGAATTTTGCTTGTACTTGGTAGGCCTACCCTGTTTCGATCGTCCCTGTTCAGTCTTCGTGTATCAGTTGTGATAGTCCGGTTTGTAGGCTACATTTTTTTTTCTGCAAGTATATATAAGGTGTGTAAAAACGTGTGTGATTTCCTGAGTTACGTCCAGATCTCATCCAAGGTTTATGTAGGTTGGGTCTGTACTATTAGTTAGCAACTGTGTCTTAGTTTTTGTATTAGCGTGTGTATGTTTTGTTTAGAGTAGACTGTGTTAGTTGTTGATAGTGTAGATATTATTACATTATTTTAGTTTTCACGAGCCTTTGTTACATTCAGTCTTGTTAGTAACCCGTTTGTGTTGTTTTTTTTGTCTTATATGTTGAGTGACGAACTGGATCACCCTTAAAGGATTGTCCGTGTGTTCACTACAGTAGCATATGATGGTTGAAAATTAGGTGTTTTAAGACTTCACTATCAATACCAAGATTGCAGACGTTTCATATTTCTGAATAGAGCAGTATTATTACATTTCAACGCTGTAGAAATTAGTTTCACACGGACAAAGAACTTTAGTATGCTATTGTTGCATCTCTTCTATGAGTATGCGTTAGTTTTGTGTTGGTTTTCCTCTAACTAATAATTAGCGTCAACGAGTAGTTAGCCCATCACACAACATGGAGGACCAGCCACATTTTTGTCTGGCCCCTTCTACACTAGTCCTGTTGGGCACCGATAAACACGCCATGAGCACTAAGCTCCCGCCTGCAGAGGTGATATAGGGAACCCGAATCAACGTTATTGTGACAATTCATTTCCAACCTTTCAATGTAAAGTTATTGATAAAACAAGACCATTATTTACTGTTTTATTCAAATAATACAATCTGAACATAACTGATAATACGTTGTTTTTTTTTTGTTTATTTTTGTATTTTTAAAAAATATAAATTCATTGCACTAAAAATATTTTTTAAATTATTTATTTCGACAGGAAACTCTTGGTTTGTTATGCTGGCGATAGGGATCATCCTTATTCTTGTCAGTGTGTGAGATCTCATGCCATCATCGGTGAAATCTGTTTCGTCACCAGCAATAAAAAAACGCAAGGAAAAAATATAACAATTCATCAAAATTTACTAGTAGCAAAGGAAGTTAATTCAAAATGAATAATAACATTTTTATTCAAAAGATCATTAACAAAGCAGACGAATATCCAAGGAATTCAGAAAAAGAATATACTTTTAATGTGACTAAAAATAGTATATGTTTTTATTATATCAAGTAACTTTCAAATAAAACTATTCCCTTGCATGTTTTGAGTTGTTTCCATATACACTGACTGCATGCTTTGACACACGTGCACGCATATATATATATATATATATATATATGCATATATATATATATATATATATACATATATATAAATATATATGCGTGTATATATATATATATGTGTGTGTGTATATATATATATATATACATATATATATATATATATATATATATATATATATATATATATATATATATATATATATATGGTTCCATGACAAATGATCTATTTTGTCCATGAGATCATTTGTACTTGAGATCATTTGTCCTGAGATCATTTGTCCTGTCACCATATAAATGTATATATATATATATATATATATATATATATATATATATATATATATATATATATATATATATATATATATATATATATATATATATGCATGTGTAGATATATAGATAAATATAGATTGATAAATATTCATATGTATGTATGTATGTATCGCTTTTCTAGAACCAGACTGTCCATTTTTCAGTTTTTCGAATACTATACACAGTTGTGTTCTTTATCCACCTAGGATTCATGTAAAAAAAATATTAAACACCAATAGAAATTCACTTAGTGATTAATAAAGAGATGTTAGTAAAATACAGACTTTTTAAACATATGTTTTTAATAAGTCTGTATTTTTTTACATTTCTTTATAAAAAATATTTTTAAAAACAGAAAATAATTAAAATCCAAATGTGTATAACCTGAAATTCTTGAGATGCCAGTGGTGTACATTTTGGTGATATGTCAAAAGCAGTTTTGAAAGTTGCTATGTAAAGAACTTAAGATTCTAAGAGAGTGGATACCAAATGTGCTGATATATCTCAATTAGTGAAAAAGTTTTTAAGGTTTGATTTGTAATTTGATTCAACACCCTAAAAAGTGCAATGTTTTGGTGGGATGGGAGGGGGAACGTTATATCAGTAAAAATATATGACACAAACTAAATTAGTTGTCCTCAACACAAACAAACTTACAAGAAGAATAGACTCAATTTTTTTCAAACAGGAAAAAATAACAATGTCAATTAAATTAATTTTATTTAATTTAACTTTTCTTATTTTTTTATTAAATTTAAAAAGTGGAAGTAAAGAAACACAAAGAGTGCACATATTTAAAACTCGCCAAAACGTTTCTGAATTTTTGCAACTTGTTTGCCTGTCACATGTACGTTTGAAACACGATTTTGGTCAGAATAGTGCATAGATTCTCAATCTGTTAAAATGCGCCCTTGTTTCAAAATAAAAAAAAAAAAATTTGACTCTTACAATAGATCTAAATTCATGGAAATATATAATATCAGTATCTCTAAACATTTAAATGACTTAATTTCACTTTACAAATATACATACATATATATGTATGTATATTTATATACATATAAATCTATCTATCTATCTATCTATCTATCTATCTATCTATCTATCTATCTATCTATCTATCTATCTATCTATCTATCTATCTGTCAATCAATCAATCTATCTATATATATATATATGTATATATGTATATATATATATATATATATATATATATATATATATATATATATATATATTTATATATATATATACACCTGTATATATCTAATATATAAAGCTTAACAAAGCTCAATTCTGTATGTGACAGCGGACAGGCAATAGAGGAACATAGTAAAAAAACTGGAATTGATCCGCAACGTTTATTACTTAAATAAAAATTTTGAAAAACTTATAAGGAAAATTTGAAAAAAAAAAGGTTCATTCTATAAACGTATGATTTTAATTAAAATCATTTGGAATAAACAAAGTCAAAGAAAATGTTTGATCCTTCACGAAAGTTTTAAAAAAATACACATTACTTCACTTTGTTTTATTTATTGCCGATTACTTCTGTTTTTTTATTTCCCTTTTTTAGTTTGTTTTCGTGGTAGAAAAAAAATAATCGGAATGCAGGCATAATTATTTTTTATTTAATAATGCTTTTGATGTTAATTTTATCACAAAACAATGTTCTTTGTAGAATGAAAAAAAAAGTAACGAATTTAAAAATAATTTAACGTAAAACACAATTCAAAGAAAATTCATTTAATAATTTAAAATTTTTAGATCACAACATGGGTCCTAAATTTAATTTGTTTGAAAAATTTGTTCATTGATTTTAAAACATAATTATACAATAATGTATGAAAATTCATTGTGATGCTCTGGTATAAATGGACGACCGTTTCCATTTTGTGCAAATTTCTTAAAGTAATAAATCTTTTGAATAAACTTTTAAAAAGTACACATTTTAGTACTAAAAAAACTGTATACTCTCAGATTTTTACAAAAAAAATGCAACAACAATTTTAATGTCTGTTAACTTAATTTTTCATTTTAAATAATTTGATTAATCATATTAATAACATTAAAAATGGTATTTGATTACGACATAAGGAAGACTACGAAATGTATTAATTTAAAAACAAAGCTATACATAAAAAAGTAATAGTTAAATTTAAGGCATTTGTTAACAGAACAATTGTATTTTTATTGTATTTGAAAACAAAACAAAAAAGGAAACACATTCACTTGAATCAGAAATCATTCAGATGCAAACATATTTTAAAAAATTTCTTTATGTAATAATACTTTTTATATGAATTGTATGAAAAAACTATGTTTATTTCTTTGGACAGTTAAAAGAATGTAGCTACTTCCAAAAATAATTAGACGTAAATAAAACCATTTAAAGAAAATACATTTCAGAATTTAAAAACTTTAGATCGCAATTTGGGTTCTAAATTTCCTTTTTTTATAAAACATTTTTTATTGTTTTTTAAACGCGGAATAAATTTTTTGTGTTTTGACCCAAACCTCACATAAATTTATATGAAATTAATTCTTATAAATTAGGAAAAAAATATGATACTGTAGTTGAAATACTTTTTAGAACAATTGTATGTATCTTAATTAAGAAAATCTTATACCCATTTAATTGAACTGAAATTCATCAAGATGTAGACATAATTATTTTTTATTTTTTGTTTAATAATGCTTTTGATATTTATTTTTTAACAAAACAATGCTCTTTTTGTAGAGTGAAAAGAAAGTATCTAATTTCAGAAATCATTAAACGTAAAACACCATTCACAGAAAATTCATTTAAGAATTTAATAATTTTAGGACACAACATGGGACCTAAATTTAGTTTGTTTAAAATATGTTTTCACTGATTTTAAACGCTGACTAAATTATTGTGTGGAAAAAACAAGCCTCAAATAAGCTCATATGAAATTAAATTCAATTGCCGGTTATATCACAGAGATGTCCAAGAGATAAAAAAGTAGAATAACTATTAAACAATAACTATAACAAGTGAAGTCAAAACTCAATTATACAATGATGTATGAGAATGCATTGTGATGCTCGGGTGTAAATGGACCACCGATTTAAGTTTGTGCAAATTTCTTAAAGTTACAAATCTTTTGAATAAACTTTTAAAGTTAAAAAAAAGTACAAACTTTAGTACTAAAAAAACTGTATACTCTCAGATTTTTTATGAAAATGCAACAATTTTAATGTCTTTTAACTAAATTTTTCATTTTAAATAATTTAATTAATCATATTAATAACATTAAAAATGGTATTTGATTATGACATAAGGAAGACTACGAGATGTATTAATTTAAAAACAAAGCTATACATGAAAAAGTAACAGTCTATTTCTTTGTACAGTTAAAAGAATGTAGCTACTTCCAAAAATAATTAGACGTAAATAAAACCATTCAAAGAAAATACATTTCAGAATTTAAAAACTTTAGATCACAATTTGGGTTCTAAATTTCGTTTTTTTAACATTTTTTCTTTGTTTTTAAACGCTGAAAAAATTTATTGTGTTTCGACACAAACCTCACATAAATTTATATGAAATTAAATTCATAATAAATTAGGAAAAATTATAATACTTTAGTTAAAATACTTTTTAGAACATTTGTATCTTAAATAAGAAAATCTTATTCCGATTTATTTGAACCAAAATTCATCATAATACTTTTGATTATGATTTTATGACAAAACAATGTTCCTTTTTAAGAGTGAAAAGAAAGTAGCTACTTTCAAAAATAATTAAACGTAAAACACCATTCAAAGAAAATTCATTTAAGAATTTAAAATTTTAGATCACAACATGGATCCTAAATTTAGTTTGTTTGAAATATTTTTTCATTGATTTTTTCATTGATTCAATGCCTTCTAAGTATCATATTAAAACAGTTCAATGCCACACAGCCTTCTAAGTATCATATACAAACATTTGGCTAGTGCGACAGTAAGATGGGCAGTTCAATGCCACAAAGCCTTCTAAGTATCATATAAAAAAAATTTGGCTTGTGCGACAGTAAGACGGGGCATTTTGTAAATTTATTTATGTACTACGGTTCTGCAACTGCTTATCATCCAGACCTAGACAGCAATAGCACCATGGCTGAAAAGGTTTTTAAAAAATGTGTTGCACCACCAACAAAAGGTCATCGTATTTTTTAAGATATGTTTTATACCTCTGTACATCTGCTTGAGTTTCTCAGTCGTGATTACACTAGCACGGGCGATACAAGATGGACAATTTTTCCTCCTACACTTAAGTCTCATGTCTTGAGACATATGGAGGTGAAGTGGTACATGCATGAAGACAAGTACCTTACAGTGGCATTTAGGGATAAAAAGGCTAACAGGGGTTTGTGTTAGTTGATACCAGTCAAGGAAGTGTTAGCAAAACACAAATCAAAACCAAACATGGTGCCGCTGAAAATACGTCAGCCATAGATTTATATAATCAAAATATGATTGGTTGTGATAGAGCAGATCAGCTAGTTGGCTACTATAGCTGCCACAAAAGAAAAAGCCACAAGTGGTGGAAAAAATATTTCACTGGCTGTTGGGAATCTGCCATGTCAAAGCTGCCATGTTATTTCGTGAGTCTCACCCCGAGCAAGCGAAGATCAGTCTAGCT